TCACTGGAAACTATTGTCCATACAGGCTACATCAAGAAATGTCTCATTCCATTTGAACCAACATTTGGTGACAAATTCAAGCGTGGTAAAGTCGTCGGTATCAACGTCCAGCAACAGACTGTGACTCTAGCTAGTGGTGAAACAATACATTATGATGAACTTGTTATAGCAACTGGTACAACTGGCAAATTCCCCTCCAAACTGCCTGTAGATACGAGTGCAAGCGAAGCGATTGCAAGATATGAAGACATGGTTGCCAAGGTAATTTCTGTGTCGTTTATTCCTACTTGAGATATTTAAAAAAATGTAAGTGTAGTTGTCTAGTGTCGGTAAGAGTGCAAACTCAATGCACTATGTAGAACAGAATATGTATGTTTACAAGTACTTTGAGCTACTTAAGTTTCACGCAACTTGTGCAATGATCATATTGCTTGAGATATTTTTTTCATTAGTTTTTATTTAGTTTTGATGATAAGCAGCTGGGAATGAGGATTGAGTAAAGTAATATCAATATTTAATTATAAACATACAGCATCTGACCTATTCTGCGTAGAGGCTCTAGGGAAGGATCTCCCCCTTCCTCCCTCCCCTAGAGCTGCTACACAGGATACATCAAACCCCAATCTTAGTTGTTTGTATAAACCGTCTTTAGGTCCAGAAAGCTCAGGACATTGTTCTTATTGGCGGAGGTGCAGTAGGCGTGGAGCTGTCAGGTGATATAAAGGAAGATTACAAGGAGAAAGAAGTGACTTTGATTCATCCAAGAGAAATCATTGTCAATGACAGGGTGTCTGAGTCATTCCAGAACACTGTGAAAGAACGATTGAAAACTCTTGGAGTGAAGACAATGCTTGGTAAGAAAAACACTCTTCTCAATTTTCCTGTATTTCTTCCTTTTTTTCCTTCCCAGTAAGTGGTCTCTATTTTGTCTTCTTGTTTCTCAAGTATGTATAAGTTTGTTTGTGCTTTGGTATGGTTCATTTCCTTGTCATACTTTTTCAATCCTCCAATTCTTCCCTCCTCCATTCTTCATGGCTTCCTTTCATCATCCTACTTATTNTAAAGCACATCGACAAACACCCCCCGTTTTTAATTTTTCAGAGGGCAAGTCTTTCATCATCTCGGCTGGCCGTTCAGGGGGGGCGGTGCAGATGGGTAACTGGGTGTTCGGTGATTGGTTGTCCAGAACAATCAAAGGCAACAGTGTTTTTACTCCAATGCAGTGGAAAGCAATGGGACAAGAAATGCCCAAGTAGACCCCCCACGGGACTTTCAATAAACACAACCGAATCATTATCGACAACTAAGCCACTTTCAAACACTGAAGCTCACAAGTACCCAGCTCAATGCAAATGAGACGATGATAACCACAGGCAGCCCATCCATTACAGATTAGATGGGCTGCATGTGAGATAATGAGCAAAAACTGAAGAATTTCTGTGTTTGAAACGGGCTTGGTTTTTGGTGAAGTACTTTATCTCTGTTCTTGCTATAGAAATAAAATTATATACCAGATTTGAAAGGTTTGTGTGAACGGCTCGAATTTAATTTGATAGGTATTAATTCACGGAGTAGTGTGATGGGCTGTGTGCTGCTGTCTTTCGTTTGGTACTAGAGTTTTTGTTGGTCTTGTAGGTAAATGCATATTATTTGCGTCGTTGTCGATTGCCGCAAATGCGCTGCAATAGAATATGTTAAAAACCGTAGAGAATCCGCTAAAAAATCCGTTAGGGATACGTAGAGGAATCCGCTAAGAGATACAAACTGAAATACGCTACCACGCCAATGCATATTATTTGAATGGTTCTCAATTACTGCAAATGCGCTATAAAGAATACGGAAAACGCAGAGAATCCGCTGATGAATACGTAGAGGAATCCGCTAAGAGATACGAACTGAAATACGTTTCCATGCCAATGTGTTTTATTTGAATGGTTCTCAAATGACGCAGAGGCGCTGTGGTATACGCAAAGGAATCGCTAAGAAATACGTTGCGGAGTAAGCAATGAGTGTGGAGGGAAATTCACGTTACAAATACGCAATTCATACGTTACGAATACGCTATAAGTACGCTCAGGATTACGCTGCCATGAATCAAATAAGAGTGCCACCTCATAAGTTGTTTCACAGCAATAACAATACTTGTAACTGCACCGACACTTTTGAAAAGTAACGATGTCTAGTGATTTTTCGTCTCGCAAAAACAGTTGGCAAAATGCCGTATCGTATTTCTTTGTTCCACTGTAAATTTGATGTAGGATATAAATATATTTTTTTTGAAACTCGAAAAGAACTGCTCTCTCCTTTGCTATTGCCGTTTGGGTCTAAGCAGTAGGTCCTCTAGTTTTTGTTATTCATTTAAAAACTTGCTGTGAGGTGTTGAGTGTGAAATATAGCACATCAATATACATCAAGGGGATTACCGGGTGGGGCTTGTCTCTAGCACTACGATGAATCAAACTAAGATTTTTCATGGCTATTTTTACCCCCGAATAAAAACGTCTTAAGGCACCTGTTCCTTGTGTTCCCCGTGAATCAATTCAACTATTTTGTATTCACTCAAACTGAGTTTCTGTTGAGAACCTATAGACTCGATTGTGAGGGTTTTGTTTTGTTGGTTTTTGATCGTTCACTAAGATACAGTGCCATTTCAAATATGAAAACCTTATCGCTACTTTGAAGTATAACTTTAAAAAAATATTGTCGATAATAGTAAGAACTGTTTCTAATCTAAAAAAAATGTTTTTCGAAATTTCTTAAGAGATATGTTTGAATCATAGTTTTTGGTCTCATTTTCCACAATGTTTTTCTTTGTTTTTGATCATTTTTCTCTTTTATAACTTCTAAAATTGAGTATTGTGTGTGGAGAATCATGCACTCAGTCTGTTGCTTAATTAAATGAGGAAAAAAATGTTTCTTTTTTCTTATCTCGTCTTTGTCTCGTTATCTCGATCCTCTTGAAATGTGCTATCATTTCAAGTTATCATGGTCTATACTCAGTGATATGATCTTATCAAATGTTTATATCCAAAACGTACTATATGTTTAACGCTCTTTAAGAGTAATTTCTGACCGCATTTTAAAGACTGCATTTTAACAGTTTTGAACCAGGTTTTTTTTTCATTTTACTTTCGGGGGAAAATCATTATTTCATTGTTACTAAAAAACAAASTTTCCTTCCTAAAAGATTTGTTTAGTCTATTGTCTTAATGAATTGATATTTTCGCCTAAGTACAACTCCTTTTCTCTAATTGACGAGCATTATTGGCCAGCAAGTTTCTTGTGGTTTCGACACGTTTACAAAACCAAAAGAACTTGTGAACAACAGAATYTGTTGTCTTCCGATTGTCAGGGGTAACACAGACACATTTGGCGTCTAAAAATATTGCAAGAAAGCCTCAGAACAGTAAAACATTTGAAGATAAAGTAGTTGAATCACAAACGAAGACTAAAAACAGCAAAYGAAAAGAAACTTTTCAAGTTTTATAAAGAAAAAAGTACACGAGAGTTTACWAACTGTTACGTAACACTTTGATGTGAGASAAGTGCTACAGGGCAAGTGGTTTACATCTAAACGCGAGTTCTTGTTCAAGAAATCTTGATAAGTAGGTAAGAAATCAAACATTTGAGAAAGAAAAGTAAACGTGTCCATGAGTTCATCGTGTTTTTAAGTAATATTTGTTTTAGATAGTACTTGTAAGTTTAAATCAGTTTAGGCAATATATAGTGACTAAAAAAAACGTTTGTCTAACTGTTTATTTCCATTCACAATCTTTATCACCAAACACARCTACAACCCGTGCGAACATCAATACAACGAAAAGCCTGCAACTCGCTACAGTTGCCTTAAGGTTGATTTACACAATGTTTGCGTAAAACTGAACATAAAACCTGTGCGCGTCATACATACAGCATGAATTGCGTCATGCGAATCAAAGCTACAACTCACCACAACTACCTAAAGGTTGATTTACACTGTACAACTGTCGCATACAACCTGTTTACGTCATACGTGTAAATTGCATAGTGTAC